ATGGCACACAGCAGGGCAGGCAACACTGATTCATTTTCTGTTTCATAGCTTATGAAACACAGCAGGACCAGTCACGTCATGTTCATAATGCTCATCACCAGACTGGTCAGCAGTTCAGGATCCATGCTTTCAGGCAGAGGTGATGGCAGGCGCACAGTTTACAAGGGCTGTTAAAAAATGGCACGAAACTAAGTCGGAAGCCCATGAAATGATGGCACAAAACAAATTGCATCATGGGATGGTGAGCACACCCCCATGATGCATCGCAATCCATTCCCAGAGCTCCCAGAGCTCGATGAGTTGCACAGTGGGATAGCTTCCCACGATGCAATGCTCTCTGTGTGAAGGCAAAAGCACTGACTGTGGACGTGCTTCGCCAACGCAAGGCAAATTGTGTGGACATGCACAACTGATGTAATTAAAGCAGCTTATGATCACTGACCTAACTCTGTAGAGTAGACATGGCCTTAGTTTCTTCTTGTTGCAGTGCTAGTGTAGCTAAGGCACTGGTGGCTCTTGGCATTTTAAGCATCAGGCTAGAATTTTGCTGCCTATATTTCCATACCACTGATAGTAACAATGATGGCTTCACTAATGTAGATGGGGCTCCAGGTGGTCAGCAACATTTTAAACAATGTGACAGGATTAGATGTCATGTTGTTTAAAATGTTGCTGACCACCTGGAGCCCCATCTACATTAGTGAAGCCATCATTGTTACTATCAGTGGTATGGAAATATAGGCAGCAAAATTCTAGCAAAAAGACATCCTCCTGTAGCTACAGCCTAAGTGTAAAGCTGCAGAGCTGCTTTCCTGAATATGCAAAGAAAGCCTGAAACAATAATCCTAAGAGGTGTGAAATACCCCATGTATCCTCATGGGGTATTAACTCTGGCTCCTGCTGATGACAATTTAAATATTAACATTAACAACAATTTCACTGCTGAACATTTTTATCAGTGATAGCCAGCTAATGGGCTTACTTGTTACTGGATGCGGTGGTTGATATTGAGGTGAAGTGCAATAAGGAAGCTAGTTACTAATGAAAGTTACCGAGGTGAGGAATGAGCATTTCAAGGCACCTCAAAGTTCTAAAATCACCTCAGATCTCACCCACAAGTGCATGCCCACAAAAGCAGGATACACAGTTAAGACACATACTGTAAACAGAGGAAGATGGGTAAAACAGGGTGGCTCCTCACTGTGACTATTTTTAATGTTGAATTATCTTTTATAGATTTTTGGCAGAATCTGAATGGCTTTGTTTTGTTAAGTAAGTGTTATGTAAGATCTTACAAGTGTAGATTAGCCAATGACTTCCCACCGAAAAAAGTGTTTCACCAATCAATCCACCAGAAATTCTTGGGGAATTCCATTCCTTCTGGGAAAGATCAGAACATAAGAATGGTCATACTGGGTCAGACCAATAGTCCATCTAGTCTAGTATCCTGTCTTCTGACAGTGGCCAGTACCACTTCCTTCAGAGGGAATGAACAGAACAGTGCAATTATCAAGTGATCCATCCCCTGTCGTCCATTCCCAGCTTCCAGGAGTCAGAGGTCTAGGGACACCTAGAGCATGGGGTTGTGTCCCTTTCCATCTTGGCTAGTAGCCACTGATGCACTTATCCTCCATGAACATATCTAATTCTTTTTTGAGCTCAGTTATACTTTTTTAGATGCATTACTTCAGCCTTGCAAAACTCATTTCGCCTACATGTACAGGGTGATTAGTTTTCTTTAGGTGTACAAGTAAAATATCATTAGTTCATTCATCAGTATAGTAAATGAGAGTGAGTAGATTTTGTGACTGGGCAAGTTTTCATGACAAGTTTGCCATAGTGCGTTAATTTCCAAGTCTCAATAAAAAATACTTGAAGAAGCAAACCATACTTTCTTTCTTATTTATTTATTGCTCTCATTCTTTGTTTTATAAGCACCTTGACCATTTCTTCATTTTGTCTAGTATTTTAGAAAACAACTCCCTTTGTGGCTGAAATCTTGGGTGTCCAATTTCAGCCCAGAAGAAATTATAGAGCATAGCTAGAAACCCCTCACATTCCTGGTTTATAATGGAAATGCTGACAAACCCATAACTACATAATGATGACTACCACTAATGGAACAAAAGTGTAACAACAGCACACATTGCAGATATAACGCAGCCTGATTACTAACAGAAACTGCTATTTGAGAAAAGCCAAATATCACACTCGAAAAACTGACTGCCCAAGTACTGCATTAAGAAATTTTACTCTGTAGATGAACATGATGGGCCAAATTCTGTTCCCAGTGCCACGGCTGTAAATTCAAAGTTACTCCACTGACCTATATAAAGATACTGTGGATTTACAAAAGTGTTACTGAGAGCAGAGTAGTCCTTAACTATATTATCTAAATTATTATGGGCTTTTAGGAAAGTACATTTCCAAATATTAAAAGCTGTATGAAATTTATTTGAATGTTTTATTGCTTCAAAAAAATCACATTTTAGCAGAACATTTATGTAAAAAAATAGTAATATTTCCAAGGTTAAAATGCATCCATTACATTAGAGTATCTTTAGATAGGCTGTAGTTTGTATTTACAATACAAATGTCACATTCTAACACATGGAATACTTATGTGTCAGATTCTGCTCTGACACTGGCTTTACACTGTTGCAACTCCATAGCTAAATTCTACTCTTGGTAAAACCAGTGTAAATTTGGAGTAAGTCCATTTAATTCATGGATGTAAATGAGAGTAGATTATGACGAATGACTTACTTATGTTAATCCTAATTTACACCAACATATATGAGAAGAGAGCCAAAGCTAGTATGTTGTAAAACAAGTGAATCTGCTTTGAAATATGGCCCCTTACACTACTCTGAATCTTACTCAATATGAAAAAGCAAGGGCCCCAATCCGCAGGTCAGGCCCAAGGTCATTCCTCCAGATGACTGTATGCTAAAAGGCCAGGCTGGGGTAGCATAGTGCCAGCATAGCCAGAGGAATTCTCATCTGTCTAGTTAGGACAGCTTTAGAGTCCCTTTGCACCACTGAAGCAGGGGCCCAGATCTGGTCCAAGGAATGGTAGCTGTACAGAATACTCTTATCTCTCTTACCATTAAACAAAGCAAACTAAGCACAGTGGCATGAAACTTGCCTTATGATGCCATCTGCTGGAAAATATGAACTATTTCTACTTTAAAACTCGTTTGTATTAACCACACTCTTCAGTTCACATTGTATGATTAGTATTACCATTGTATAATTAGTATTACATACTCTCATTCAGTATTTTACCTAAACAACTAACCAGATATACACAAACCATTTTCTGCTTTAGTTTTGTTTACTTTACAGCCCTGAAATTATTAGATGTGATTAAGATCCATTGTACAGTATCTTGTACATAATTTTTGTTAAAACGTTATGGACAACATGTTCAAACTTGGTTGCCTAGAGTTAGGCAGCTAAATCCATATTTAAGAACCTAAATAAATCAACCGATTTTCAGAGATGCTTAACTCCCATTAACTTCAGTGGAAGCTGTGGGTGTTCAGTACTTTTGAATATCAAGCCACTTTTAATTGGGTACTTAAATATGGATTCAGATGACTATTTTAGGCACCCATATTTAAAAATTTTGGACAATTTAATCCTAATGTAAGGAGTCACAACTAAGCTGGAACTGATAGAGTTGCATCTACTTATTCCACAGCTAATTTGTTCCTATGTTAGAATAAAAGGAGATTGATTTTTATTTACAAAAACTAGCATTTAAATCTACTATGCTAGAATTCATATTTATAGATTGACCTCACATGCAAAATTTAAAATGAAGCAAGTTAAACAGTCAAAGATACAAAAAGTAGTCTTGTCAGCAAGATACCAGATTTGAATCTTAGTTTAGTAATTTAACTGACATACTTTATAAAAGACAAAATAAGAAATCTTGAGTTCCAGCCTCTGATCTCTCCACACGTGGGAGAGGCTGTATTCATTATTATTATTTGTACTGGTGTAGTGACTAGAGCCCCCAATCAGGACTGGGGCTCCACTGTGCTAGAAAATGTACATATATAAAAGAAAAAAAGACAGTCCTTGCCTTGAAGAGCTAACAGTCTAAGGGCTTGTCTACATGGTGCATTAGTCCATACCAGAGGGTTATAAATTCTAATGTGCACTAGCACAGTGGCTCTCAACCTTTCCAGACTACTGTACCCCTTTCAGATGTCTGATGTGTCTTGTGTACACCTCACTTAAAAACTACTTGCTTACAAAATCAGACATAAAAATACAAAAGCGTCACAGGATACTATTACTGAAAAATTGCTTACTTTCTTATTCTTACCATATAATTATAAAATAAATCAAGTGGAATATGAATATTGTACTTACATTTCAGTGTACAGTATATAGAGCAGTATAAACAAGTCATTGTCTGTATGAAATTTTACTTTGTACTGACTTCGCTAGTGCTTTTTATGTGGCCTGTTATAAAATTAGGTAAACATCTAGATGAGTTTATGTACCCCCCTGAAAAACCTCTGTGCACCCCTCATGGGTATGTGTGCCCCTGGTTGAGAACCACTGCACTAGCATACTATGCACTAATTGGCCTGTGTGGACACTACTAGCAGTCAGTAAAAGTTCCCTAGTGTGTTTTAATGTAATCCTGTTTCAAACAGACTACAGTACATTAACATGCACTAGGGAACTTTTAGTGCATATCAGCTGGGTACACACAGGCCAGTTAGTGCGCAATGTGTTAGTGTGCATTAGAATGTACATCCCTCGGGTGTGGACTAATGCATTGTGTGGACAAGCCATAAGTATATGAAAAAGACAACAACCAGATGGAGGGTAGACAAGGTAAGAATGAGATGAAGATTAGCTGATCAGAATCAAGTTGCGATACATAAACATTTCTCAGCATTTACCTACTTTACACCAGACAACTTGAATTATAAATATAACAATCCCCAAAAGTGAAGACTTCACTTTTTGCTTACACTTTTCTCTGCTGCATGAATATCTGCATTTCCATGAAGAGTTCCCAGACAGATCACTTTGCCTCCTTTAGTTCGTACATGGATTTTATGACTCTGAAAAATAATTATACATATGTATCAAAATAGTTTAGTTTCAGATTCTGTGTATCTTTGTTCTTTCAAACTCCACTGTTCAAATCACTCTTGATCTGCAAACCTCAGCAATCCCACTTATTGAGCTTCTTCTGGAAAACTGCCAAGTGCACTAAGTAATTTTGAAGTAGACATCTTTCCACTGTGGCTAAAACCAAATTCATTTTTTCTTATGATTCAAGATATACACAAATGGATCACTCTGCCCAGTTCTCTTCTTGTGAAAGCAACTATTTTGGAGCCAAATGGTCACACTAACTTAAATGTGGAAATAACAACATATGTCAACATGATTTTACTTTTTTAAAATAAAAAATACCATTTTAATGCCAATAATTTCGCAATATTTTGTGGTCATCCCACTTGAAATCCTGTAATGCGAGATTTCCAATAATACCAAGCTTGTGCTAAAATGTTATGTTGTTGTACAGATACCAAGCATCCGAAAGTCACTTGGTAATTTTCATTGATAGAAGTTGGGTAATTTTTGCCCCGAGTCCTAAAACCTACCACTACCAAGTTTTACCAGTTTCACTTTCTATTGATAAATACTAGCCGGGAAAGCGAGACCAGTAAAATGCTCAGCATATTGGGGGAGGCAGTTGAGGGTCTAAAGCTTGAGAACAAATTAGTCTTCAGCAAAAGTGGGTGTAAATATCTTTCATATTTGTGACCCTCTTTTCTCTCACCCCTTCCTCAGAAATTGATATGATCACTCCACTTACTCAGCAGCTTTGAGGACACACAGCTTCTCCTGAGATGGAAGCGTCACTATGTAATATCTTACTAGGGCGTGTGAAAGACCCACCAAGACTTCTTACCCTCCTCTCTACAAATCATGCATTTTTGGCTACCAACTTGACCAGAAAGCATATCCAAAAGGCAGCTTTATATCTTAACTGTTTATGAAACGCATATTAAAGGCGTGCAAAGGAAAGTAAAGATGTTTGGCTAACAAATTCAGGCTATTATACCATGCTTATTTCATTCTTTACAGTAGAACCAATGGATGGTTGAAACAATCACCTGCAGAAAATATGAAATAAGCATTGAGTTCTGAATACACAAAAGTAATATTTAAAAGAGGATGGGCTTTTGGATTTGTTTACATTGCATCCTGGGACCTAGATGAAGTAGGATTTTAACCTGGATGTGCAGATTATTATATAGGGACTATATCCTGCAGTTTTTACTCAGACCAAACTCTCCTGCATATTAGATACAAAACAATTTAGAGCAAAGAGGAACAGTGCCAATGCTCTGTAATTAAACAAAACAATGTATTTCACATTTCTATTTTCCTAAAAGAAGCTAACTTAAAATAAAAGTTCAGCAATTCAAATAAGATTACATTAACATCTGGTGCTTGTACCCCCTTTTCAGGGATAACTGGACCTATTTGGCTGCAGCACAGAACCAACATGAAACAGAGGACAGTGATTCAGGAATAATGTCAGAAAGAAGGGAAGATAAAGTAAATTAACTTCTGACAAACAGGAATTCTACTGCAGAAGTCACCAAACTAATGAAGTTTAAAAAGGAAGATGTCTCAAAGATGCACAAAAGTTAGGTCTTGAGGGACTGAAGAGCAAGGATGTTTACAAAGACTGTCTCAGTTAGGAACTACAGAAAAGCTTAAGCTGTTCTCTAAGTACTTTTAATTGATATACACCAAGACACATTCAAATAATAATGTATGACAGCATTATTTCAAGGACTAATTGTATTGAACTTTTCTGCAACAAATCTGAGTAAAAAATCTGGGGGCCTCAACCAGCAAAGCACTTAAACAGGTGCTTAACTTTACTCATGTGCTTTGCTAGATTGAGACCTAAAATTGTTTTTAACAATAGCACTCCAAAAAAGCAACAAACTCCCACCACTAGGGTCTAATTTCAGATTTTTTAAAAATTGGAATTGGTATTTGTGATGCTTCCCGGGGCACCCAGGGTTGTGAGGCACCTCACTACCACCTGCCCATTGCATGAGGAAGCCTCTTCTATGACTACCATGGGTCAGCTCCCCAACTCTACCAGCCATGGGCAACACAAGCATTCCTCTCTAGGCTTTGCAGGCCTCACTGTTACTTTACAGGTTAGCGACTGGCACATTACAGCCCTCCGAGTGTCTCCCTGGAGTGTTCAGCTCCTGCTCCACTGGACACTCGCATTATTCACAGATTTGCTGCTTCCAAAGAAACAATATACTCCAGCTTACCAGTTCTACCTCAGATCACCTCTCTACTTAGCACACAGCATGTAGATATGTTTACATTGAAATCAAGTGTAAGTTTATTTAACAAGCTTAGAGATTCAAGTAGTAACAAGTAGAAGTATTGGAAATAAAAGGTTACCTACAAAATAAAATGTTATTTAGTTGAGGATTGGTCCTGCTTTGAGCAGGGGGTTGGACTAGATGACCTTCTGAGGTCCCTTCCAACCCTGATATTCTGTGAACCCTCACCTCTAAAGCCTAGACTTAATTAACAAGACACTCTCATATCTAACCAGGTGTTGGTTACCCAAAATCCTTGCAGCGCTTCAGAACCAGGTTGGCTGTGCCCCTCCTTTCATGAGATAGGCATGCTGTCATTGTGTTTCTTTGTCATTCCCCCCACTCCAAGATATACCGGTCCCATCCTTTGTCTTTATTCATAAACAGAACACCTCCTGCTGTTTGTTTCCATCTTGTAGATTTCCTTTCTCATACACTTCTCAATCTCTCATTTTGCAGCTGGCATAGTATGCCTATTTGCATACAACACACAATATCCAAAGGGCCAGAGAGGGAGGGAGGTGTCTGTTAACTACCGTTGAAAGGAATATTTCCAAGGTATGTCACCTCCTGGAAATCTGCCCTAACTCCAAGACCTTAAGAACATAATTTTCAGTACAGATACATAACTCCTTAAATATTATCTGTACATATATTTTGCAATGATTATGATGACCAGTGGGCTACTGACACGTGGTAGAGACCTCACATGCCACCCTTCAGTGAATTACTATGCATATATGCTACATTTTTAAGAGTACATTAAAAGAGGGGCTTTCTCCCCCCTAATTGTAAACTTCCTAATGCAATGCAAGCAGGCAGGTCTGAAAATTTTAGGACATCTAAATAATATGGGGAGTTATTTAGTAATAAGTACTTTTATACACTGAAATAAGCAAATGAAATTTTAAGTGATTCATGCCAGATGATAGCACTTACATAAGATAGGAGGGAATTTTGGATGGGTGGAACCTAGTTTCCAATATGGAGGATCTGTTTTAATACTGCTCCAAGAGCTTCCAACAATACACAGAAACCAGGAGGACAAGAAGTTCTATACGCTTTTATTTGATTAGATCAGGGTTGAATTGGTGACCTCTGGAGGATGCCAACCATCTAAATCCAAGCCAGTGGACACCTGATATTTTTAAAACCATAGCCTCCAGTGAAGCAGGACAGGCTGACCTGCACTTGAAAGTAACTCCCATGGAGCACAATTAGCCAGGGATAAAAATGATTGAGCAAGCCTTACTAAAATCTGATGTCTCACTAGCCTCAATGACATCAACAGAAGGAAAATTTGAGGCAATAACTTCTCATGTTAATCACTCTGATTGAATGGGAGAGTAAATGGAACTGAGTGCCAGCTCATGCAAGCAGAAAAGAAGGTTAGAAACTGAATTAAAACAGTAAAGAAAACTCAAAGACTAAAGCAAGAGTAAGAACTCCTAATGTGAGAATAGATGAGATACCAGGAGGGAATGAGTCCTAAACCCATTTTAATGTTGCAGTTAACTTAGCTATTAAACTATTCCTCTACTTCCATATGGAAAATGATCCATTCTATATACAGTAATAAGATATCAGAGATCCTACTCAGGGTAGACCAGGGTCAGATGCTTTGGCTGGGAGTATATGCCCGATTCTCCTCTCACATTTTCAAACTGGAGTAAGTGAGATCAGCATCAGGGCCAAACAGCAAATCCTTCAGGGGACAATTCAAAGAAATCTTAGGAATTTGGTGTTATGACACCTAAAAGAAATTAACCAACTACTAATGGCTTAGTCAAGGGTCAAGTAAAATGGTTGATATTTAATTACAAAAAAACCTCCTGAGTATACATTTTATTCCTCTCTCACATCCCTTTTACTTGTGTTTTCAGATTGTGAGGTATTTTGGTAGTGAGAACCTCTGTATGAAGGGCCTGCACCCAATTAAGGGCATTGCTCAGCACTCTAATTATGGAGTCTCTGCCCCTCAAAGGGAAGGCATTCCGGGGTAGTCCCCAGTGGGGGCATGTGACTGAGACCAAGGCCTGTTGGGACAGGAGGCAGGATATAAATGCCCAGCCACTCTGTCAGTGAAGAGGGAAACCTGGATATAACAAGTGGCAACGAGTTGGGATTAAGAGACCTAAAGGAACAGTAATGGCTGTAGGTCTCCTCAGGCAAGGGGCCTGGAAAAGGTTTGTGAAGCCTTGTGAAGGGCTGTTGCAAACCTTGGAGCGATGGAGAATCTCTGCAGTTGAGGGGTGGAAAAGACTGTTGTGAACCCTGCAACAAGGGATGAAGGATCTATTTGCAGAACCTAGTGAGAAACTGACAGGGAGACCTGTGGAAAACTGACAAATGTAGATGGCTTCCTTAGCACATACTGGTCTATAACATATATTAATAAACCAGACCCCAGGAGGTGAGATTCTATTTTAGAATTCTTGTTCAATTAGTCTGCAGGGTAACCTGAGGTATGGCTGTGCACTTGACGAGAGGGGTAAGCAACCTTTGTATAATCTCACTGTATCTGAGCAGCGCATAGCACACTGAGAGTGTTACTGTACTCCAAAAAAATTCACAAGTCTAATCTTTCCTGATTTGAGCCCTATTTCTCAATGCAGGAAGGACTCTGTGCTGACCAAAGAAAAACAGAGGGAGGAAGAAATCAAAACAGCCCTTATTTCTTGCTGAAT